ATGGAGAGCAAAGAGCAGTTGAATGCACACATTTGAGCTGAGGACAAACATCAAAGTCCATGACTGAGTCCAAACTGAAAGCTGTGCTTATGAAATTAAAGCTGGCTCATATTAGGGCTTGTTTCTGGCCTGCAGTAAACCCACAGAGCTCTCTCTGTCTCCGAGGCACTCGCCCCATCCTCAACCAGCATTTAGCTCTTTTGTTTTTCTGCTTTCATCAAAATCCAAAGGGGAAGTCAGCGGCCCGACAGCACTTCTCACCCACTTCATTTCCCCCTTTGTCCTCTTCCTGTCTCTGCTGTCATTTCCTCTGGATCCAGGCTTTGGCTACCTGACCAGGCAGCTGATGGCGCTGGCGGGCGGTCGCTTGGTGCTCGCCCTGGAGGGGGGTCACGACCTCACGGCCATATGTGACGCCTCTGAAGCCTGCATCTCTGCTCTGCTCGGCAATGAGGTAATCACTGAGGATCCCCGGGCACATGCAAATGTAAAAATACAAAACATAGAAGTTGACAGGCATCTTTTTATTCAGCGTATACTCTGAGGTTGCTCAAAGTTGGATCAGCAGCAGTTTTATGCTAAAGAATCGTTTATAAGCGGTGATTTAAAGGAGCATTGTGAAGCTGCTGTGGGTTTCTCTATCGGGTTGTTGAAACAGACTTTTTGCGTCCGACTCCTAACTCTGTGTACCTGCGTTGCTGCCGCCCTTACGTCGCCACACGGACATCTGGTAAAGCTTCAGAAGTGCAGGGGCGTCTCAGACCGACTTCCAGTTTGAAGGACACTTTCGGTACTCAGTGGAGTGAGTCTGGGGGCGCTGCGTCTCATGTTTCAGCGTCCTGCTGGGCGTCCCTGCTCGCAAGAGTTCGAGCAGGTCCCTGGACGGGTGCCATGGTGAGCTGAGAATTTGAAAATAGGCAGGAGGCAGGGAGGGGGGCGTCAATTGCCTCTGCCCTGCAGGGCGCCGCTCTCACCCAAGGCCCCGTTGCTGATGCACATCTGAAAACGCTTAGCCTCACACCTCTTCCAGCGGGGTCAGCCTGGGTCTAGGGATCAGATAATAAAGGGAAATGGGGTAATCATTTGAAGTTGGGCGGGAGGACCTGCTGTTATTCAGCAGCTCCGTTGAGCTTTGATAGCACACGACGGTGGGAAAATGGAGCTAAGCTATCTTTGATCCGATCAAAACTGCAGCAGAAAGCCTTTGTTTTGTTGTTTTCTTTCATCTGCAACGGGCTTTGAAAAGAACACGGCACGATGCCGGGAAATGTCCGAACTTGGAAGACGAGGAATAGCCTGTGCTTTTGCTTCTGGTCCGCCGTCTGGCTGCAGCCTCAAACAGCAGCTCTGAGGAAAACGTATGCATGCAGGGGGAGTGTGTAACCAGCAGCCGGGCTGTGTGGGCATCACGGGGCAGCAGGGTGCTGCGTCTGCTCACAACGTGTCCACGGAGGGAGTTTTATACCCTGGAATAAGGTTCGGTTTGTGTTGGCTGAGTGGGCTCAGGCATGTAACCACAGCTGGATCAGTCGGTCAGTTAACGGTGCTTCAGACAGCCTGAGGCGACGCATCATCTGGAAGACTCTGCATCGCCAAAATAAAACTCTCTGATCCAGCTGCACTTTCTTTTTCAAGCTTGGACGGTCATTATTTTGTTTAAAATGTGGTGAAAAGAGTGCAAATCTAAATGAATTTCTTTTATTTTGCCAAAAGGACTAAAGATAGATGTTCTCTTGAGATTCATGAGCTGAAAATAGAACTTTCTTGATGCTTTTATTTTGTAGCAGACTAAGAGGCATAGCTTATATCTTAGGTGCCAGAGGTTTCTATTTTCCTCTTGTTTAGTTGTTTTCAGTGTTTCTCTGCTCAGTCCAGCCGGTACGACTCGCATACCCGACGGGTTTTCCTGCTTACCACCACTGTCTTGTTTTACTCTCAGGTCCCTGCTGATCTCTCATGAATGATGCATTTGCAGCTACGCTCGTCAACGCTCACATGCAGATGTTAGCGGCTGTTAGCAATAATTAGCGAAACAACAAGCTAATATGCTAACTGTTAGCAGCTGCCTGTGGGGTTGTTACTGCCGTCCAGTTACAGTTACACGCTCGACTTCACCTGTCTCCCTTTGGGCCCAACGGTTCCAGCCTCCACCCTTATCTGAACAGGTCACCTGTTTTTCACCGTGCACACGATTACCTCGTTCAGTTAGCGTAACGTAATCAGACCAAACGCTAAACAAAGAGTGCCTTGTGCACTTTTCTTTTGCTGAACAAGTGGAATTCCTCCTCTTTCCACTGTTTGGGTTTGAGCCTCCTTCAGGAATGTTTTGACCGGAGCACGTTCCCCTCTGCTCAGGGCTTTACGCCGTGTCTCGGGTTTATTAGACAGAGCTCCTGGCTTCGTGTGACGGCAGCGGCGCAGATCATCATCCTGCTCTGGAACCGAAAGCTCATCCAAGGCCACCAATTCGAATGTTTGGAAATGTTGCCTAGAATGATGTCATCAGCGAATGGAAGCTGTTTCATGCGTGCGTGTCTGGGAATTGTGTCTTTACTGTACGTGCCGACCGCTGGGGCCCTTAGGTACCATGACAAGAGCCATTAAAGTTTATAAGTGTGAGGCCTGGCTGTCAATCAAACTGACAAGCAGCCCCCGTCTGACTCTGCTCTGAGGTGAACTCCACCAAACCCCAGAGATCCTTTGACCTTTCGTTGACAGGAAGCTGAGAGAAGCTGGATCAGCTCGGGCTGGGCACACCTGGGCTGGAAGTGACCCGGGTCACTGAGATCAACTGAAACCTGTAGACGGTTGTGACTGATGATGATGATGATGATGTTTGAGTCTTCCAACATGGACATCTTAAGATTGAAGGGATGAATAAGGTCTGCGGTCACCCACTCAGCCACAGCCAAAGTAATACTCTTCTACTTTTAGATGGTGTCCTTTGAATTTGCGTCACTTTCTGTAAGACTGATGGCTTTTTTTGGTGATTGGTCACTTAAAGGTGCTGAACTTTTCATATGACAACAGCAGCCATGGTCTGAACCTCTCCCAGCCCTTCCAGGATGGGGTTGTGAATCAGAAAAGACTCGTATTGGGTGACAAACAAAGACAAAGACTGTCTACATGTGAACTGTTGGCTGTAAATAGCCGTGCACAGCCTCATGTGTGCACGTACCTCAGTGCATGATGTAGCCTGTCGTGCCACAGCAGGATTAAGGTATCCATCCCCTGGAACTGCCCTTTTCCCCTCGGCCCTGCAGACCCCTCCCACACACTATTTGTTTTAATTAATAGAAAACTTTCAGTCTCGGCCAGCCGACACCGACCAACGACGACTTTTTCCTTTTCTCTTTCCGGCATCCTGCTTCCAGAACGTCAAGCCAACTCTTCTTTTTCTTTCTCTTCTCACGTCTCCTTCCCTGTTTCCATGTCGGTGCATTATTCCAGCGGGGCTCTGACGGAGCAGAAAAGGGAAGTGTGCTGTCTGTGTGGGAATGTGGAGTTCAATGAGCCCGTTCAACAAAACGGCATGAGAAAGTGTCGGCCAGAGGGGAAATTAAATCATTCCGGGTTAGGAAAGCACTTCAGGGAATAGCTGTGGCTTGGAGACTTTCATAGACCGGTTGATGAGGTGCATTTGTGTTTGTGTGAACAAGCACTTTCCAAGTTTGTGCATCTGCGTACACCCATGCACGTCCGTAGAGCGGGACTCGGAACAAAGCACGCTGTGTAGTTCGTGTCAAGGAGTAGCAAAGCTGAGGCGAGTGGGAGGAGGCATGCATCCGCAGGCGTTTGTTTTATTGTGTCAGCAGCTTGGGATCGTTCCCAACCTCTTGGACTGACTCGACAGTGGGTTGTGGTCCCCATTTCAAAAATCATCCAACAAAACCTGCGGGACCTTGCATGATGTCAAACCAGGTTCTGGAGCAGACGCTTGAACACCTGTCCGACACCGCCGTACAAACACACGAGTGCTCTTTAGTTTAGCTGAAGCCGGTGCAAACACACAGCCTAAGAAGTATTTTAAAGCTAAAAGATTGTAAATGTCTGTGGAAACAGTCAAATGGATATAATGTTGTCTTGTTTGCTTTCTAGTTGGACCCTATTTCATATGAGGTGCTTCAACAGAGACCAAACGCCAACGCTGTTCACTCGATGGAGAAAGTCGTCGAAATTCACGGTAAGTGGATCGCTTCCGTCGACTTCAGACGTGGTGTTGTATCGTCGCTGTCGTTCAGAAACCTTGCAATCCCCAAAAGGAAATGGAAACGTCAATAAAGTGTGGTCACAAGCTTTTCTTGATGCAAAAGACACTCGAGCGCAGCAGATCTAACGAGGACAGATCCGTCTTCTGTTTGAGGGGACACATGACGCTAAAGTGCAGCCACGAGGATTTCAGCTGCATCTATAAACACTCCAGACTTTTTATATCATGGATGAATTTGTCCTTGATCCTCCTCCACCTCGTCATGCGGTCGCCGCCTCTAAACCCACGTTCATCATCATTTCCATCCACCAATAACACACTCGCTGCATATCTTTGCACTCCTTCATCCACGGATGAATAAACATTCATATTGTCGGACTTTTCCCGTCAGGCGTTCTTCAGTCTGTTCCGTGTCTACAGCTGAATATCTTTTTTGAGGTGACAACGGCGGTGCTGTTGACAAATGTAAAGGAAGCAATGTCCTGACCAATCACAAGCTTGCGGTTTCCGTCACTTTCAATGGAGATGTAAAAATCTGGGCATTTCTCTGTCACCGCGGGACCTCTGTGAGCCCGTTGGAGGGCCCTTATAACGGCGCTTCGTGTCTCAATACCGACGCTTACGGAGAAGCATAAATCAGGTTCTGCTGCTACTCTGAGCCCCTCCTGAATGCCAGAGCTTCTCTGCTTATAGCAGCGTGAGTGGGGGAGGGGTGGGCGTGGCCTGCTACGTCTTGTTTTCTTAAAGTGACAGAGTCCTGAAACGTCTGATTCTAGGTGCTGAAATGGTTTATGTGAGAGGGATTTAGTGCGAAGCACGTCATAAACATGTTTGTGTTGACCATAGAGGTACTGTAGCCTGAGAGAACAACGTGGATACATGCGGCCCCGTTACCGAACGGCATCATTGCTGTTTTGTTTTTTAGGTAAATACTGGCGTTCACTTCAACGCTCCGCCTCCACACTTGGCTGTTCGTTGAGCGAAGCGCTGCAGCGGGACACCGAGGAGGCCGAGACCGTCTCCGCTATGGCTTCGCTGTCCGTCGCTAACAAACACAAAAGGTAGGTCGGTGGTGTGTGACTCGTTGTTTTTGCCCCTTAGAAAATCTTTGTGCTGGAAGTTCTGATCTCAGAGAACGTTGGGTGATTTTTGATGGATATTTTTTTCATGCCAAGGAACGTTTTTGAACATACGAAACAGAAAAGTGTTGATTTCTTTTTGATTCCTTTAGAAGTGAAGAGGAACCAATGGAAGAAGAGGCTTTGATTTAAGAACGTCCGACTCAAACATAACCATGTTTCCGTTTGAAGAGTCGTCCTCATCCAGTCGGTAGATTCTTCTCTCACGTTCTCATGGAGAAGGTGTATCGTCACGATGACGGCACCAAGAGCAGATATCTAAAGACGTGCAGCAGTAGTGCACGGGACAGTTAGCATGCACGTGTTGCACTAGATGTTGGACAGAAGGTGGAGCAGTTATGGCATTAGTGCTTTTAAAGAGTGGAGAACAACACTAGACGTGTACGTTTCCACTCGTCTCTGGTTTTCTGTCTTTTATCTGGTTCCTGTCGAAGCCACCAGAGCTGTTGTAACCACGACTCTCTACTAAAGATGGAGTCCTGCTTGTCGAAGACGTCTGACTGAAACAAAGTTGTTGACTTTTCTGAATTTTCCTGAGATGAAGTTGAGGAAGGTCAGCAGATAATATTTTCTTATTTTGGTTTTGTTCTGCCGGTAACAGACTGAGCATTTGTGCCTTTTTTGTAATTTAGTGGTTCCACTGCCTTAAAGATGGATTTTCTCTTGACTCTCTCAAACATTTTTATCCTAACGAGACGTCGGCTGCATGCATGTTTTCGGCACATAAACTTGGAGGACTTTGTTTTTTCTGCAGCCAGCCGACTCCGTCTCCCTCCATCTTCATAATGTTTTTCTATTTTCTTCTGACAAGGTAGACCACAGCTCCAAAGAGCCCAGACGTCTGCACACTTGAGCGTGGACCTGTCTGTGACAGTTTCTACAGGAGAAATCGTGTCACTTCTTAAAAGTTATCGAGGGATGTAATTATTCTCATCTGGGCAAATTTGTTCAAGCAGCCTTCTTGCTTTTACACCTGGGATTTTCCACCAGGGGTGTTCCGAGGCCACGGCAGCTGGTTTAACATCTTCAAGCCGCTGCTGAGCACATCTGTTCCCCAAATGTCAGGTGCAGGTGTGGGTATTTCCATCTGTACGTTTACAGTAAAAGCCAAGCTTTCTGCAGGAACATCAACTAGAGTGCACACGTATGCGATTGCTGTTCATCTGAACTTTAACATTTGTGTTAGTTGGTGAAATGAGCATAATCTGTGTAGTTTACTCATAATCCCTTCAAATTAGGAAACATTTAGAGGGATGGGCAACATAAAACAAAAGTTTTATTTACGTCAAAATGTTGTTTATATAAAAAAAAATTCACTGAAGAATTTATTTTATTGCCTTTCTTGGAATGTTTGGGTTTCTGTTTGTTGCAGTCTGTAAATTCACCACTAGATGTCAGTAAAATGCAAACACACACAAGCGTGAACACATTAGTTTTTTTAGTTTGGCTGAGTGAACCGTCCCGAACTATCCCCCTTTTTTCTTGGGAAACAACCTTTTTTCATTTAATTGCGTTTTTATTCAGTGAGCTGTAGCTGTTTTTTGTACACATGACCCCCCCCCCCCCCCCCCCCAAATGGACTTCAAATACTTTTTTGTTCAGATGAAGAACTGATGAACATTTGAGGGTTCAAGCTCTTGTTTTAGGTAAAAATCACAAGAATCTCTTTCTGAGTTCAGGGTTTCTTGGGCGGACGTGTTGGGAGGCAAATGTTTCTACTTTGTAAAATGAAAAATTGTGTATTTACTGTTTGTTTATAGTAGATTTATATATTAAAGAAAGGAGTAAATTATATATAAATAAATACATATATATGTATATATGTGTGTGTATATACATATATATATGTATATATGTGTGTGTATATACATATATATATATGTATATATATATATATATATATATATATATATATATATATATATATATATGTGTGTATATATATATATATATACATATATATATATATATATATATACATATATACATATATATATATATATATATATATATATATATATGTATATATATATATATATACATATATACATATATATATATATATATATATATATATATATATATATATGTATATATACATATATACATATATATATATATATATGTATATATATATATATACATATATACATATATATATATATATGTATATATATATATATATATATATATATATATGTATATACATATATATATATATATATATATATATATATATATATATATACATATATATGTATATACATATATATATACATATATATATATATATATATATATGTATATACACACACATATATATGTATATATATGTGTGTGTATATGCATATATATGTATATATATATATATATATATATACATATATATGTATATACACACACATATATATATGTATATATGTGTGTGTATATACATATATATATATATATGTGTGTGTATATACATATATATATGTATATATATATATATATATATATATATATATATATACATATATATATGTATATACACACACATATATACATACATATATATATATGTATATATGTGTGTGTATATACATATATATATGTATGTATGTATATATATATACACACACACACACACACACACACATGATGAATATTTGGACCTTGTTTTGAAGTTGATAAATGACATTTTCCATTGGCTGCAGTTGCAAGCGCCCAGGTGTAGTCACAGCAGTTTTTGTCTTTCAACAACGACCGTTTTAAAGTTGCCTCCATCCTGCGAGTGTCACGGCGCTGCTGCAGTACGCCTCACATATCCACGCACACATCTGTACCATTTAGTACTTTTTACTGTTAGCTGTGTAGCTGTTCCTGCATCGTATGACTTTAGAACTCTGCACTGGTCAAAAGCAAATATTTGATGATCTGTTTGATTGTGTTCCTCTGACGTTTACAAGTTTATCCATGTAAGATTAATTTGAATATGATCGCTGCATGGTGCTGCTGCTTCCTCGGTAAAATTACTGTCATGTGATACATTTTTTGCTTGAATGAGGACCAATTAAAAACGAGGCCTATCAGCCTATTTTGGGCGTTATGATTGAATTGACCTAAACTGGTTGCTTTCATTTGCATTTGGACTGAATTCATTTAAAGTTAATAACAAAAATCTTTGGTTTAGTAAAGATAAAGAATTTTTTTTCATGACAGCTTCTGATGAGATTGCTTTTCAAACAGAAGGAATCTTTCCATTGGAACCAACTTCATCTGTAAATAGTTGACTGGAAACTCAGATTACAGCTGAGACCTGCATTGGAGTGTTGTAAAGCATCACTGTTTTGTATTTTCTGTACGTTTATTAATCACAAACACCGTTTGCTCCTCGCTGTGAGTCTGGGCCTGTCTGGTTTGTGATTCAGGACTCTCATCTGAGGAGAAGACCTGTGCTGATCATGTAGAAATGGTCTCTGCACACATGAGGAGAAACTTCCCGTCAGTTTTTATGTCCGTTTTGGTTTTTCACACGTAGTCAAAACTCACTGGCTCTCTCTTCACAGAGAAAAGGCTACATTCCAGTTTACTGCCCATTTATTTGAAGCCAGAGCTACCATTCACCGCACTCCTCTTTGCGTGATCCGTTTGTCTGCATGCACCGCCTACCTGTCTGTCTTTCTGGCCACTTACCAGCACAAGGGAATAGCACTGAAGGCCATTCACACTTTCACTGCATTGCATCTCTTTTTACTGTCGTTTGTTTCTAGTGGGGACACGTTTGGGTACGTTCCATGTTGTACTTTTCACCTGTAGCATCTGGACTTGGAGGAGAAAAGAGCGTCATCTAACACGAGTTAGACTTGATTGTATTTATGTAGAAACGGAGCGCTTTGTGGACTGCAACAGCAGAATGACGACGTAACGTTTTGGAGATTTTCTGGCACCATGGTGAATTCTTTGTGCTTTTGTCACATCTGGACCTTTTTAATGGATGCCTGATGACTGCTGCAGTTCGTTCCACTAAAACACGATAAAGAAAAATGAAAAAGCCAGTTCTGTATGACCACTGTGCTTCAAAAACAAACAGTTGTAGGTTTACATTTGTATAAAATACATCTTTTTTAAAATGACATTTGTTTTTGACTTGTTCTGCTATTGTTACATAAATAGTACTTTTTTCTGGGGAAACCTTTACTCTAACATGTTGTCTTTGACATGTACAATATAAAGTATTGTTTTTGAAAAACCGTCTGCGTTGTCTGTTTTTTATGATCTATGAAGTAATTTATTGGGTAAATGTCAAACAAGAGCAATATTTTAAAATCATTAAATCTTACATTTTTAATATTTATAAGGAATTTGGGTGGGAATACATTTGAAAAGGAAAAGATTGATTGATAGCTGATATTTGCTTCATATTAAGTATGCATGACTTTTATTCTCACATGTTGAGGAAGAATAAAAAGTACAAAGGCCATCCGTTTCAGACCAATTCATCACTGAAATAGACAATATCCTGAAAATACAAATAAAACAACTGGAACAAGACAAAAATATGTGTATCTTACATTTGAATGCTCTTTTAAATCAGAATCAGAAGGTTTTATTGCCATATGTGTGAGAAATCATAACATTAGGAAATTGCTGTGGTACTCGGTGCACAAAGAAACCTAAAAATAAGAGATAAACAGGAAGTAAGAACATAATCATGATACAATAATACAAAATGGCAATAATTAGAGAAGCGGCTACTATATAGATGACCGTGTACAGTACTGATCAGAGCGCAACAGTTCAGGTACAAACACAACACAGGGTCATGTGACTGGAACAAAGAGACTGGAGTGGGCAGCCCTTGGATTGTCATTGAGGAGTCCGACAGCAGAGGGGAAGAAACTGTTCTTGTGGCGAGAGGTTCTGGTTCAAATGGATGAAGACCTCCTGCCAAGACTTGTGTCCAGGGTGACACGGGTCAGCTGTTATTCGACCTGCACATCTCAGTAGCCTGGAGGTGTACAGGGCCTGTATGGAGGGGAGTGCAGCCAATGACCTTCTCAGCAGAGCGTACAACACGATGCAGATTCTTCTTTTCCCCGGTGGGGATGCTCCAGCATACCACACGGTGACTGAAGAGGTGAGGATGGACTCGACTGCTTTGTAGAACTGCTTCATCAAATGTGCAGGCAGGTTGACTTCATCTGCTCTGGGGTGATTGCTGATTGGCTGCACCTGGCGGTAAAGCGTTTCCTGTTTCCTGTTTTCAGTGTTGCACTACGTGTAGCTGGTGTTTGGGGCTCGCTAAAACCGATTTAATTTCTCTGTACTAGGATATCTCTGAGTTATTGTAGCGCATAAGCACGCCAAACACACATTTTCTGTTGTTCCACCTAGCTTTTAGGGAACCATTTGAGTTTGCATGCAGTTTATTTGGTGTTGGACAGTTTGCTGTCCAGTTAGCTTAGCCTCAGCACGGCTATGGCTACTTCTGTCTCTGCTTCTCCGTCTCCTATCTCTTGCTCTCTGTGTCAGATGTTTAGTTACTCCTCTGCCTCCTTTAGTGATAATGGTACGTGTAATAAATGTAGCATTTTTGTAGCTTTGGAGGCGAGGGTGTCGGAATTGGAGTCCCGGCTCTGCGCTGTTGAAAAACCTGTAAACAGCCGTAGCTACTTAGCTAGCGTGGGGCTAACTAGCTCAGAACCACCCCGTAGCGGTCCTCTAGCAGAACCCGAGCAGCCGGGACCTCAGGCCGGCTGGGTGACGGTACGCAGGAAGCATAGAACCCAGCCCGTGGGCCACCACCAACCCGTCCACTTTTCTAATAGATGTTCCCCGCTCAGTGACGCACCCACTGACAAACCGCCTCTGATCATTGGCAGCTCCATAGTCAGAAACGTGGCATTAGAGGCTCCAGCAACCATAGTTAAATGTATGGCGTTTAAAGCGTGCCACAACCCGTGCACGCGCATTGGGTCCACAGCGCGCGTGTGAACGGGACTCGCGAGCGCAAATATACATGGCAGCGCGCGTGTGAACGGGACTCGCGAGCGGAAATATGCATGGCGAGAGGTCATTTGTGCACTGAGAGGGAGCAAACTGTGTCTGTGAGCGCACAAGGATGTGCACAAGTGACAAACCTGCATGCGCGCGTTGTCAACGAGCACACGGCAGAGGAAAACGTGCGCGCGGCAGCCTCTGTGCGCGCTCGGCAGCCTCTCTGCGCGCTCGGTTTCTGACTCCTGCTCGCTCGGCTGTAAGGGCTTTTGGCACTCTGGAGGCGTGGCCTGTGGCAGATCTTCTCTGTCCTCTGATTGGTTAGTTTACCCCGCACTTTACCCTCTATCTATATAAAAAAGTCTGATATTCAGTAGTTGCTGGCATAGCTCAGCTGGGAGAGCGGGTGACTCTCACTCTGGAGGATCCAGGTTCGAGTCCGGGCAAGGAAAATGCAGTAGACGTCATGTTAATTTTTCTTTATTTCAGGTATTTTACAGTTGTGACCGTTCAACTGTCATTAAACATCCGAATGTTTGCTGGGCAGTGTTTTAAAAAGTGCACATAAGCTAGATGGTTTTAACCATATAAAATTACATTTTTTGTGATACTGGAAAAATACATACTGAAATAAAACTACTGGTTGAAAACTTTATGACTGTGGTTGTACAATATATGACTCACTAATACACTGCAAACTCCCTTAGAGTGGGGCTTCCAGAGAGAGAGAGAGAGAGAGAGAGAGAGAGAGAGAGAGACAGAGAGAGAGAGAGAGAGAAAAGTTCTTGCCTCATTAATGTATTGTTTATTTTTTTC